AAGGACATGAGTTCGTCGTACCAAATGGGCGAATCTCATAGTTGCAAGGTCGTTCCTTGTTGACTTAGAATCATACAGCATGAAATCATCATCAAGTATAGTTATATTGATTACATAGGTGTCATGTAATCACCACCAAGAACTAGCAAATTGAATAAATGTGCCATCATGTAATTATCAGTAAATATTTATCATCATGAATCATCAAATTGATCATATGACATAATGTGCCATATCATGAACATTATTATACACTTTGCGGACGTATATATATGTATATGTATATGTCTGTGAATTATTCTACAATTCTAGCGTGGTACCACTCAGCGGTTTCGCTGAGCGTGTAGTTTGTATTTTTTTCGTTGACTACACGTAGGTAACAAGAAGACAATGACGGAACCATTCCCGGAGGGCATTGAGTCAGCGGAGATGCAAGGATGGCAGGCAAATGTTTGGTCATCAGATATTAAATGTGTCATGATTTGATTATTATTGTACTTCCACATTACTCTAAAAATATTTTTAAATGGGTCGCGATCCAGAATCTGTAAATTTAATATTTATAAGAAATTGTCATTTTCAAATGTCAAGCGAAATTTTTATTTATCCCTCGTTTCACCTTAATTCGTGTAATTCCGGGTTATACGGATTGTGGTGTTACAAATAGGTTGTATCAGAGCAAAACGATTTTCGGATCATTAAGTCAATATTTTCAAAGTCCTGCATCCGCATCCTCCACGACATCTCTGCCCCGGGAAGGTAATCAACAAGTAAGTTACTATGGCATAACACACATGCTTAACTCATTGAAAATTTGCTTCCTTTGAGTTGCTAGTATCCTCATAGACTCGATTACAATAATGTGTAGATTGCCTCGAAATGTTCTTCGATGATCACAGTCGACATTAGAAGATCAAGAAAGGGACTGTAAACCCGATAAGCGCGACATATATGTATGTCATAGTACGCAAATGGCTAAGTGAATAATGTGAATCAACTTCTCTCAACCCGAAGAATACGTTGAAGAAAGAACTTTCTTCGATAGAAGGTGAACAAATTCCCCAAAAGTGAACCTATCGTTTTCTAAAGAACAAGAATAGAGCCTCACAAACCAGATCGAATACGGTATATGTATCGAATCTGAAACACATTATAGTGGTGAATCTACATACAAACATTAAGATAGGATAATTGACTCGTTCGTATACCCTACTGACGCGAAATGTCGCAACAAGATGACAATACAAAACAAGATGTGAAACAGTCACACCAACAGTGAAAGACTGGAAGATAAAGAAAAGGATTAATATTTACATGGTACATATTGATGTTGGAAATAAATACTCTTCTGAAATGCACTGGTCATGCAGCTTAGAACGATATTTATGACTAACACATAATGTACATGGACAATATTATTTCAACTTGGAAATATTACAAATGCAACTCTAAGTCTAATCTTCCAGGATTTGCAAACTCGTCATAACTAGCACCAGGACCTGGGAAAGCCTTAACAAACTCTAGCTTGTCCAAAAGCTCATCAACAAAGAAAGAAGAAAGGAAAAGTTTCCTTTGATTCAAAGCCATGAAGTTTTGCCTCACCGCATCATCTAGAAACTTGATTAGGTTATTGAAATAACCGTTAATGTTCAAAAGACCAATGAGTTTACTATGTAACCCTTCGGATGTCCATGAGATCAAAGTGAATAAACCCTCCATAGTGTCAACTCCTCCAGGGAGTACAATGAAGGCTTCCACAATATGATTCATCTCGAAATACTTATAGTAATTGCTGGAGACGGTGTACTCTACACCGTACGTAGGTCCGTAAACTTGTCGTGTTGCTATATACCTTGGTATGAAACCTCTGACTCTACCACCATTATTATAGACTGTTGAAGCTACAGCTCCTTGAAGGCCAACATTGCCTCCTCCGTAGGTAAGCCTGATTTTTCGCCTTCCCAATTCCCGTCCTAGATCAACCGCTGTAGCCATAAACCTTGGATTGCTACCAAGAGCTTGACTACCAAGTAGACCAACGAATCTTATGGTATTAGAAAGAGCTCGAGAAGTTCCTTCCATAATGTGAGAATGTGAGACGCTCTTGCCCTATTTGATATATATATAGACTCCGAAACTGGACCATTGATGGAAAAGTAATTATCACCAGCCTAAAAACGTACAGGAAAGTGGATTTGCTCCAGACAAGAATGTACTCGCCAATACTACAGTCTGCTGACGACATGACATATTGAGACTCATGAATAGTTAGCCTCATTGTCCTGAAATACATTCAAATCCGAGACCAAGAGCCAAAATGGTTATTTACCTAAGACAATGACCCTTTGAGTAACTTCAAAAAAATGAAACATTAAAGGATGAAAACCTACTATTTGCCACGATAATTCGCAAACGCTATATTCGTATCTTGTGACTTATATCATTGAAATATTCAAACTTGCTGTGTTAATTACACACTTAAAGCATCTCACTTGATCAATATTGAAAGGATTGAATTCCATTTTTTTTATATATCAAATCATTGAGAATTTGTTTTAACTCATGATTCTCCATCAAACCAAAAGGATGTTTTATGATACCGATCTTAAAAAAAACACGCGTGTATCAATAGAATCCCAAACGCATTAGAATACGACTATGTGTATAACTTGTCATGTTTTTGGTAATAAATAACATAACTGTTGTGTGAAGTAGAATATTAGTGATATGATGAATACACTAATATTATAATTTCCGAGCATAAAGTTCTTTCATAATTATTGAGAAAGTCTGAAATTCCAAGGTAGTTCTGGAATCATCAATTAGAAAATCAGTATTCAAGAATGATTACATATCATCTTGATAATACAAACAGTGACAAACTGACAAATGTTATCAAAAAGTTCATCCAATCATTACAATGTGATAAAAAAACATATATCATTATTATACATAAGTGTTATATATGTGTTAACTATTACAAACAAGCTTTAATCAGCTTATTGACATTACGTTAGTCAAAACAACTCTATTACGCATCGCTAATGAGAGTCCGAGTTTTGAAACTATAATTACGTATTCATCTAGAAAACCTAGAATGATGACTATGGTAATAGTCATTCCCCAAAATACCGTTAGGTAAAAACATCAAATCTGAAAACAATTCGTTTCAGATTGTACACAACGAAGTGTAATTTGTGAAACCAACATTCCAGACAAAGTCGTTTGAGAATGATTCTCAAAGAATTTCAGAACCCGAAATTTTGTAAATTACCCCACATTCAAGAAACGCAATCTATACAAGAATTCTTGGAAAACTCCTACAACGCGTCAATAGCAAGTCTAAGAGTATATTCGACGCAAGTCTTCATGAAAGAAATTCAAACACGATACATCTAGCATCCGCGTATATCTTTTCTCGTAAGAGAACATGTCATAATCATAACATACAACAAAAGAAAGAGAAAACAACTTTTCAAAATTTGTGTTTTATAAAAACAATGGATATTCATGATTTTATAAATCATTATTTTAAATGACTTCACCTAAGGAAATTTCGGGGACGCAATATCTTTAAGGGGGAAAGAAATGTAACGCCACAAAATATGGCCAAAAATTTATTATAAAACAAAAGTAAATTTGAATATCACTTTGACCAATGAAGAATATTTAGACGTTTGACCAAAAAAAATAAAGGGATTTCAAAATAATGACTTTTTGTTAAAAACTTAATTTTTATGGATATGTCTCGAAGAGACGAATCCAACAGTACATTTTATGAACCAATCTGATTTATAGATTTCAAGTTATGTCAATTTTAAATATTAAAATTTGTAACTTTGACCCATAAAATAAACTCAATTCAAAAGTGATTTCATAAGATTAGAAATCATAATTTTGACCCTTGACAACATCATATTAATCATTTGGATTTAATTCATATATTTTTATCTCATTCATATTATTAA